ATAGTCATGTCGTTCAGCTTGCGGTAGTCCTGTACCGGGCGAAGGGAGCCATCTTTCTTCTTGATGAAGAAGAATGGTGAAGCCATGGGAGACTTGGACGGTCGAATATGTCCCGAGCGTAAGTTCTCTTCTAGGAAGCGGTCAAGCGCTTCTCGTTCTGCGGGAGCCATAGGATAGTTTTTCATATGTATAGGTTTGAATTCTTTCGTAAGCTCAAGCGCATGGTCGTAAGGAGTGCAAGGAGGTAGCTGATCGAACTCCTCTTTGTCGAATATGTCTTTAAAGTCGTGATAAGCGGAGGGAACATGTTCCTGAAAGGTCTTCTCCATCTCCTAGGAGGCCTTTTGTTCTGCTATCTTGGAAGCGTGTGTCTGGAATGCACGGGTGTGCAGCGTATTACGATAATCCATATCAAAGTGTGCATAGGATTCGATGTCGAAAGCGAATATCCAATCACCAGGCTCTAGGCCTTCGTCGGCAAGTGGGTCGTCCTCATCATCGTGCAGCGTCCCACACAAATCAGGGCAGCGGGAGAAATCAATGACTCCTAGAGCCCAATTGATCTCCGGATTGTGAAATTTCAGCCAATTGTGACCGAGAAACAAGGGAGCGGACCCAAGGTCGGCGAGAGCGACAGGGATCTTTTCCGCGTGGCCTTGTATCGTCACAAGCAAGTCAACGTAATGCGTAACAGGACCGGAGCGATTAGCAGAACCATCTGCGTTCTTAACTGGAATAGGGCGAGGAAGCGGTTTAGCCTTAAAACCGTGAAGCTTCGCGAACGTTCGATCCATAACTGAGCCTGTACATCCTGAATCAATCAGGGCTACCACCTTCGCAGCGCGCGGATGCTCTAATATATCTTCTCTTGCATCCTAGCCGTTGTGAAGGGTCTCAACTAGAGCAACAACATCAAGCTGACGCCTTGGGTGGACAACATCTGACTGCTTATTAGGCAACAGGTCGCACGGGATTGTCAGGGATTCCTTAGTCTCTAGCTGAGTTCGTCGAGTATTCAGAGAGTCTTGCTCAACTCTCCTCACGGTATTTAACAAAAGATGATCATCGTTATGGGCAACAGGTGGTGGTACATGAATAGACGCGGCACATTGCGTCGTGTTAACCAAGCCAGAGTCCGATGAGTCTAATGAAACTTTGTTGACCGAAGACACCGTGTCTATCTCCGGC